GTTTAAAAAATTAACTTAGTTTAGTTTGTGTTCCCCTTTTGTTCTGTTCTTTTACAACATATTGCCTCATTCTCCTCAATTAGGCAGTGCTTGTTGTATTGTGGGTCAGAGTCCACAAAACTAATGATGGAGTCAAAGTTCTGTTGGCTATCCATTTATCTACTCTCTTGGTGCCAGTCTTCTAGATCTAGAATATTCTGACTTTAAACCTCTTTTAAAATGGCCCTGATGTTTGACGTGAAACCAATATGCATCTACTTTCATTTGTGCTAGTGCTACATGCAGCAGTCTGCAATCACTGATTGCAGCAACATTGTCATGTGCCATGTTCAGGATGAACAACTTTTAGAAGGGAGCAATGTTGCATGCTGCCAGGAATCCAGAATGTATACTTCCATGGAAACGCAATGCCAGCGGACCATTGCCCAGGAATACCTTAAGCAACAAACACGTTTCCACAGAGATGAAAGGACAACGAAAGTTTTGTTGCATAACAGCGGCCAAGACCAAAGGCTCCTACATTGTGTGCTATATTCCTTCTGAGACCAGGTTATAAAACTCCAGCTTCAACAAGAGACAAGTTCAGTTTGTATGTGACCTTAGAAGATGAGTCAGTCTTCAGTTTGGCTTCAACTATAGCAGAAGCAGTAACTGTGATACTGAAACTGTGAATAATTGTACTTCCAAGTGTAGAGGAGATTGGCAAATAAACACATTTGCCAAATCCAAGACCTGTGTTAATTTATTTGTTGCATTACATAGGCAACAGGGGCACTTGGTAGCATAGTTGGTTAAGGGGCTATGCTACAAGCTGCAAGGTTACAGGTTCAAGCCCCGACGAGGTCATTGGATTTTTTCAATTGACCTTATCCTTCCAGCCGCACTATGGCCCTGGGGTTGACTCAGCCGCTAACAGAAATGAGTACCAGGAATTAATTAAATAATTTTCCTGGGGAGTAAAGTGAGGGCGGCACATAAGGCTGACAACCTTACTGCCATCTTTAAGCCGATTGTCTAGATAATGTGGGACCCTCAACGTCTCACAACCCGGTACAGGGATAGATTTACTTACTTTTTACTTTTTTACATAGGCAACACATGACAATATAATCATTACAGTTTTAATGTGCAAGTTCTCTGAATTATCACAAATTCTGAATCAGTGTATATATTTCACCCTCACACATAACCATGACAAATTCTCACTTTTAACAGATCAGTGTTTCAGATCATGATAGAGATGACCATTTTTGCTGTGATCAAAAAACAACACTATTTAATAACACCATCTGCAACAATAAAAACATTAATATTTTAATATTTCATCACAATTTTATACATTGACATTGAAAAGAACATACCTCTGCAGTGACCCAGAAATAAACATTGTGTAATAACAACACAACAAATTTAAAATTTTAATAACTTAGTAATTTAATGTTTTGCATACAATTACTTTTGTTGGCATTAACATTGACAAATAACACATATGACCTCCTATAACTGTAAATATTGGTCTAGGCAGGGGAAGACAGCAGCAAAGCAGAGAGTGTAAATATTCTGTCCGTGATGGCCATAAAAAGCCGAAATATGATGCAAATTAATAGATACAGTTTATATATGAACTTTGGTGATGGAACCAATAATAAGTTGCTCACACATAACAGGAAGCTGAAATACAATATTTCTTTTATCAGCAGTTTGAAACTGTATTTTAAACTAACATTGCAGAGCACAAGGCCACTGACTCAACAAAATAAATAATACACTAAATAGAAGATATGCATACAAATAATTAAAACAGGGACGAAAGCTATATTCTGAACACATAGAACAAGTGGTTCTCACATCGGTGGTTATGAAGAGTAATATCTTCTGGGACAACACCGTCTAGTCTGTTGAAAATCAACTGATGTTTCGGAGGAACATATCACCTCCATCTTCAGGGTCGAATAAGCTGAGGAAGATACCAGCATAAAAGCAGGTGGTTGAATTTCAACAGACTACATGGTTTACATGCAAGGAGATAATACTCTTCATAATCTGAACGGATCAGCATACGTCGCATGAAGTAAATGTCACAACAGTGAGGTAATTTAATTTACTTTACACAACTAATTTTGTTCCTTTCCCTTCCAATTTTATCATTAACAACGCCCATTTTCCATAGACTGGAATGCAATTTTGGATGTGCAGCCATGAACAAATTCAGTGTCACAATAAAAACTGAAACAAGTTATCCCCAAAGTTACCTTATATGATGATAAAAAAGCAGTAATTAATACCTGTACGGATGTACTTATAACACAAATACAAGTTAATTCAAATGTAAAAATAGAAAGCTGTAATATCAACGGAAACTTCTCTTAATTAAACCATAGTTCTATCCACATTCTCCTTCATATTCAGTAATTTACTGATTACATGTAAATAATACAGTATGCGCCAAAATTACAGTACTGAAATGAAAAGATGTCCTGTTGATACCACTGTCTATTCATGTGAAGACCCCTTGCACAACAGAACCTTCTCAAATCCTGAAGAAATTGTCTGATCACCATGTCCCTGTAGCATTCTTGGGTGACGGTAAGAGCACTGCCTTCCTCATCCTCAATGAAATAGGGGCCTAGTATACCATGTGCTGAGACGGCACACCATATCGTCACACGTGTACTATGTAGCGGTTTCTGGACGATAACTTCTGGTCACTCAAAACCAAGGAAGCGAGTTGTCTGGCGACCACTTCCATATTAGCAGAAATAATACTCAACTATGAATACTTTTTCCTCCGTCGAGAGACCCATTTCCAACAGCAACTGCACAACACAACTTCCTTTTCACTACTGGGAACACGTGCAGCTGGAGCTATGCCCCGTTGACAAACACACATGCCCATTCAACATGCGTCAGTTTCAGTACTGGATATTTTGGCACATACTGTACTTTCCATTTTAACGTTTCTTTGAAATGCATGAAAATTTCAAAGTGTGCTACTGAGGAGGAAGGAATTAACAGTTTTTAATTTGATAAATTTGTTTCATATTCAAGAATGCATTAGGTTTCTTGATATCGCAATTTTTTCCTTCTGCTTAATTAAGCATCATACCACAAAACAGAGGAAATGAGGGAATAGCTCCACCATTCTTAACCTCAGCATTATATGGAGGTTAGTGGTCAGATTCACTCCCTCATCATTCTATTTTGCAGAAAAAATACCCTGGTACCCAGTAGACTGGAAGCTTGGTGAACATAAGAGCTGGTCTAGATGCTTACTCCACCCTGGAACTGAACCCAAATTCCCGGTTTGTCTAGCCCATAGCATAGTTGCTATGCCAACTGAGCTATTCCAGCTCTTCCTATTGTACAGAAAGTAATTCAGTTAATTTTAAACTTGCTAAAAGTAAATACAAATTTCCATGCTGTGTGTCACACTCAAATATAGATTTATGCTCCAGATTATTTGACATGATGCCTGAAAGCCGAGCTATAGTAGACAATCATTGCTAGGCAATGACTCAATTAACAGGTTCCAGAAGCAATAAATATGTATGCAACAATCAAAGCATTGTTGGGCTATAATAATGCAAATGGTGTTATCTGTTGGATCCACCCAAAGGCAATATAACGAGGACCCCAGGTCAGCTGAGCAATATTTGACAGTCTATTGAAATAGCAGTCGATGAAGATTAAGAAGAGATAGCAATGAGAATTGATAGTGCAGCTGCGAAGAAATGATTTAGGCTGTGAAAACAAGGCTTCATGTGTGCTGTAGTCACAGTGAGGTTGCTGTAAATCCATTGTCAGGATACGTCTGGTGAAGTCTGAGAAGACTTAGCGTGTCCTAATGATTTGTAGTATGCAAATCAGCAATAGTGTTATAATTACTTGTAATTACATGATGAGGGTATAAGTGCAACAAATCCAAACATCTGATCCAAACCCCATTAATACTCACTCCATGTGACTGTATTTTGGCTAATACTTACTTACTTACCTACTGAAGGAGCGAAGCCCTACTTGAGGAGCCGCCAATTCTGAAGCTACTCAAGAATTTCCCAGAATTTTGTGCAACCTGAAGGTTCATTACAAAATTCACAAGAGTCCTTCACTGGTCCCTATCCTGAGCCAGATAAATCCAATCCAATATTCTATGTGTTCCTCTTCTCCATCATCCATGCTACATGCCCTGCCCACCTCATCCTTCTTGACTTGATCATTCTAATTATACTTGGAGAAGAGTACAAGTTATGAAGCTCCTCATTATGCAGTTTTCTCGAAACTCCTGTCACTTCATCTCTCTTCGTTCCAAATATTCTAATCAACACCGTTCTCAAACACCCTCAGTCTATGTTCCTCCCTTAATGTCAGAGACCAAGTTTCACACCCATACAGAACTACAGGTAAAATTATAGTTTTGTATATTCTACTTGTTATGTTTTTGGACAGAAGGTGAGAAGACAAAAGGCTCTGGACTGAGTGGTAGCAAGCATTACCCGAGTTAATCTCCTCTTAATTTCCTCCTGAATCAGGAATAATGTTTCTAAACTGTTCGGTTCATAAGTCTGACATTTCCTTGGATAGATAGCCTAAACAGGTGGAGGTGAAATACTAAACAGCACTACCTTCTGGGTTGTAATGCCATATAGTCAGGCAAAATTGCAATGCTGTGGCAACTGCCACCTGTTTCTGCTCATTTCTCTCCAGCTTACACTGTGACGTTAGAGATGAATGTAAATGTGCTCATCCAAAATGTAAGGCTTCCTCCAAACATGATGGTGCAACCCAGAAAATCGTACTGCTGTTAGAACCTGAAATCCATCCCATCCTATCTCCTTAAGATCCATTTTAATATTATCCATCCACCTACATCTTGGTCTCCCTAGTGACTTTTTCTTTCTGGCTTACCCACCAAAATCCTATATGCATTCCTCTTCTCCCCCATTAGTGTTATCATTCTAATTATACACGGTGAACAGTACAAGTTATGAAGCTCCTCAATATGCAGTTTTCTCCAACCTCCTGTCACTTACAGTTTTAATAGCAGAAACACAGATTTGGAGTTATCAAAGTCCAAGACGAAAAATTACATCATCGCCTTTAAGCATTAATGCTATAATTGAAATTAAATTATCTTCTTTCTTTGCAAGGTCAACACAGTCTGCAATAAATAACAATTTTCTGTTTTATCATTGATGTCACAGTTAAGTACAACATTAAAATACACGTGTGGCATCAGCAATTACCACTGTTTTGCTTCTCCAGGTATTGGAATATTCACATTGCAAATACTGTAGAAACAAAAACATACGCCTCTCTTTGCTCACCTTGTGTTGTGCACTATGCAGTCCCTCCTTTAATGCTTCAACAGAATGAATATATTCATTCATCTAAACTATCTTCACTGAAGTTTTTACACTTCTATATTCATTTGCACAATTCAAAACATTCAACTTGTGAGATATTTTAAACCTTTGGACACACATATACATGCTTATACACGCATAAAACAGGATCTTCAGTGGTGTGAAGTGAGTCCTGCACCTCCCATACAGTGCAGCGTGGTACAGTTTGCGATGTGTGTCCACAATAATTGTCATAACACCTACAGAACTTGGTGTTATAGTTCTGTGTGGGTTGTGGCATCATCTTCACCTGAAAGCAAGAGACAACCATGAGAAACCAGTTACCCATATTTCAAAATGTCATGCAAAGAAGAGCATACATTACATGTGCAGAACATAGGAATTATTTTAGTATATGAGGAATGCTAAATACTGGAGTTCAGGTCCTACATCAAACTCAGTTAAATAATATTGTAAGAAACTATTATTCCCATTCAGTGTCAGATCAAATTTAAAATTCAAACAAAATGTGCTGATTCTGCTCCTGCTGCACTGTGATATTCTGAAATAAGTCTATGGTTCTACAGCCCTTTGTTGGGCCTTGGCTGCTTTTTCAATTTCTTAATCTTTTTACACAATCAGCAGGACTCCTTGGACAGGGGATCAGCCGGTCACAAGGCCGCTGCCTATGCACAGAATAAGCATACACAGACATCCATGCCTCAAGTTGGATTCAAACCCACGATCTCAGTGTTTGAGCAGGTGAAGACTGTTCATGCCTTAGACTGTGTAGCCACTGTGATCGGTGTCAAATATGGTATCACATTTGGCAAATTACGATCTCATACTATGTCAGACTGAATATTTATGAAGTTTAAAATTCATACAAAATAAATTGGACATGGCAAGAGTCAGAAACAGAATTTAATGTATTGTAGTGTGTACAGCCATTGCTAAGTCATGACTGAGATAAGGTGAACAAACAGCGACCGTTTCTAGGCAACAGCTTGGTAAACATGTTCCCACGGCAATGAGTATGCATGCAACAACAGAAGAACGGTGTTTTTTGTGTGGTCTGTGCTGAGATGTTCTAACCAGGACAGTTGGAACAATGACTTCATCAGGAGTTCAGTTCTGTATGGTAGGCTGTGAAGAAAAGAGTTTGCTGTAAGTGTTCAGCTGTGAAGAGAAGAATTTATGCATGATACTTGGGAGCGTGTAATTCAGTGAGACAGTTACAGTTCCTGTGTTAAAATCTGTTGCCAGGAAACAGCTAGTGGGAGACTGTAATAGACTGAGGACACTAGTCTGTGTGAGTCAGTGATCTGTAAAGTGCAGTTACGAGTCATGAGTGTATAAGTGGTTGATAAATCGAGAAACCAATCCAAAACCCCATCTATAGTCACCCTTAAATCGTGACATCTGGTGTCAATATTTCTTCTTGCTGAACTTGGTTTCTTGATACTATATATCAACACATAGGCATACTTTAATTACTTATTCTTCTATCTGGTGACCAGAGCAGTTCATGTTGTGGGAGCAAAACACAGTGGGGGATTCATGTTTCCTGGCCTGTTTGCACCTCTTACAACATCTGGATTGTTCAGATAGCCACTCAGCTGATGCTGAAGGTCAAGATCACCCAAGAGCTCTCTAGAAACTTCCTGAAGGGTAACATATCTAACAGAAACTGTAAAGTTCTCACATGAGCTCAGCTCAGTTCAGTTCAGTTCAGTACAGACCAGAGAAGTAAGTAGTGAGTGCAGTGAATCAATGAGTGAGAGTCAGTCAATTCCCAGATAGTTTCAGTGCAGTGCAAAGAAATGAAGGGTGAATGCTGTATTATAAACAGCAGGGTTGCTGTGATGTAATGAGTGAACAACTGATCTGAAGAGCAAAAGTTATGGGGAGATTTTGTAACTGTGCCATAAATTACTGGGGCACGCGGTAGCATAGTTGGTTGAGGCACCACGCTACAAACCAGAAGGTCATGGGCTCAATTCCCATTGAGGTCACTGGATTTTTTCAATTGACCTAATCCTTCCAGCCACACTATGGCCCTGGGGTTGATTCAGCCTCTTACAGAAATGAGTACCAGGAATCTTCCAGGAGGTAAAGGGTGGAGGGCGCATAAGGCCAATAACCTCATCACCACCATCTGTGAGTCAGTTGTCTAGGAAATGTGACAGCCTTGATGTCTCACAACCCTACAGGTCTTCACGGCCCTGTTACAGGGACAGCTTTACCTTTATTTTACTTCCATAAACTGCTAATAATTATAATATGAAGGTTTATTTAGACCTGGACATAAAGAGACGGCTCTGCATGAAATAGTTCAGTAGTACAAATTCAATCAGGGGTGTCATGAAAGGTCATGAAGGTAAAGATATCACACACCATAGAATGTTGTGTTATATATTGTATTTTAGGCTACAGATAAAACTGCATGATGAGTCACAAGAAGTGTCTAAGATGACTCCAAAATGCTGTACTCTGACATTTCAATGCAAATGTCATTTGTTTTCATGAAGGGAGACAGTGAATTGTGGATATGCACAAATTTATGAAATGTGAAATGACTAAACTAAGTGCATCACTTCACTGACTCACATGCAGAAGAATTAGAATTTAAGTAATTTAAGGCACAGGGTGGCTGGAAGGATTAGGCAAATCAAAAAAATTCAGCAACCTCATCAAGAATTGAACCCGCAACCTTCTGCCTTGTGGCACAGTGCCTCAACCAACTATGCTACTGTGTCCCCCCCCTGGACAGACAGAAGGCATACCAAAAAACACTCTTCCATAATCTGGAGTGCTGAAAACAAATAAATCATCAAAATCAGGAGATCATATTCTTTCATGATCACAGTACTTTCCCATATGACAAAGTACAATATATTTCAACATGTAAGATTTGAGGCTTTCACGGCGGTGACTATGAAGAAAGCAGTCTTCTGGGATTTGGCACCGTGTATATGTGGTGTTAACCGACGTTTCGGAGGAACGTATCGCCTCCATCTTCAGGGTAGAAGAAAAAGTATAAGAAATCTGCAAGCGACAAGACCGTGAGAACGGTAAAAGCTTTTACCGTTCTCACGGTCTCACGGCGATACGTTCCTCCGAAACGTCGGTTAACACCACATATACACGGTGCCAAATCCCAGAAGACTGCTTTCTTCATATTCCAACATGTTTGAAGCACAGCAAAAATGTAACACAAACTTCAAACAACAATTAATGTCAACAGCATAGCTGATATACAGTGCACATAAAAATCCCCTTTCTCCAGCCTCTTCATGAAACTCTAATAAGAAGAAATGAATGTCAGTCACAAAAAAAAACCCCAAAACCTAATAAACAAAGATGAGGAATAAAAATCAAGCCACGCACGTGCAAGCATGTGCTGAAGCAAGGAATCACATGGATGTCAGGGTGAATAGAAGATGCATCACACAGACAATTAAAGCTGAGGTAAGCCACGAAGGTTCACTTGTGGTAGGAAGCTGACCAGTCTCTGTAACAGGTCTCCAATGAGCTATGCACTGCAGCATAGTCTACATCCTCAACTAACATACTTAATAAACATGAGGTGTGACAGTTAAATAACCAGACTGATTCTGTAACAGATTTTCCGACTTTAACAAGCATTCCAGTGTCTCTGCCATGCCTGGAAACAATACTGGAAATGATTTTCTGAAAGTTCTTTCAAAAAGATATTTTTAATCCTATGAACACTGAAATATCCCAAAGGATCAATTCTGCTTAATGTTCAAATAGTAGTACTTGTATTTTTGGTAAAAAATCATTTTACCAAAGGGTCTGTTAAGAAGGCACTAACTTTGGTGGTCACTCGGTCAGTATAGTTTGCTTGCGGACTACAGACCATGGAGTTTGTTTTGTTTTTTTAGTTCTGTTAGGAAGGAACATTGTCAGGATGCAAAATCCACCTGTATGGCAAAAGGTTTTGTCTCCTTCAAAAAGTTCACAGTTGCAAACATTCTGTAATTTCAAGGCAAAAGTTTGATTCACTGTTCATCTTTGAGGAACAAATTCATAAAAACATTTCTTTCATATCAAAAAAGCACATCAGGATGGTGGTGACAGCATTCATCTTGTCTCTGGACCTTTCCATTACGGATGCTCTGTCTTGTTTCTGGGTCATACTGGTCACATCACTGGTGTCTGATTTTCCAGAAAGGTCAGATTCTTCCAACAATTTAGCTAAAAGGTATGAGTGGATTTCTTCCCTCATAATTCTTTGACCAACAGACACAACAATACACATATAAAACATGTACTGCAGCCACAAAAAAAGCAAATGCCAATGACTTTGGTGTGAAAAAACACATACCCACTTAACATTGCTGCAAGATAATGAACAGAAATGTCTGGATATTTAACTGTTAAACTACGTACAACATGCAAACAACGGACATCAAATGTGTTAGAAGGATAATGACTTATTATTACCAAATATTACCCATCTCCCTTTGTATAAGCTATGCTTTTCACTGAATTAATTAATAATGCTAATAAAACACAAAATTACTGGTCCAGTGATTGAGGTCAGCTTTTTCTAAGGGACCCAATAGAGCAGGTGTCTCCTCCTCATCAGGAAACAGGTTGTGTTCTCTAGTTGTTTTAGAATACCAGATTATGGATGAAGTAAAAATACCCAATGAAAATGCAACAAAAAGTTCAAAATACCAATAAAAATGTAAGATCCAATAATATGTGATGACAGTGATATTCTAGTGCTTGTGCATGTGAGCCTCACAGGAAAATGAACATAACGTACACTGTTTGTAATATTATACGTAGGTTGAATCGAAAGTCATGAGCAACTTTTTTTTGCATGCAACCTGGGAACAGCAGATGAAATAGAGTATGGTGGTAGGTGGAACCAGCTGTTGTGTTAACCTTGAGTGTCTTGTGACATTAATAGCTTGCATCACGTGACCAGTATCACTTCTAACAAAATGGCCGAAAACCATATGTTGTTTCGCCAGCATGCTATCATTGAATTTCTTGTGAAAGAGGAAATCCCTGCTGCAGAAATTCACAAGAGACTTCAGCGTGCTTATGGAAGTGTGTGCATGGGTGCGAGCAGTGTTCAAAGATGGGTGAAATATTTTAAAGATGGGAACACCAGCATCGAAGATGAGCCTCGGAGCGGTCATCGTTGAACAGCCTCAACTGAGCGCAACATGGAAAGAGTGGATGAGATCATTCAAGACGACAGGCGTGCGACTGTGGACACAATAGCCCGAAAACTTGGAATAGGGCACAGTGCAGTACAGGAGATGATTG